TCCGAGGCAGCTTGCAGCACCTCGCTTGCTCCTTTTCTCAACAGCCCTTTGAAGGTAAGTTCCGCTATTTCAGTTTTCGCCTTTCTGGACTTGACCAAGCCTGACAGAAACCCTGACGGAGTCTCCCCCGCCAGCTCCTGCAGCATCCCCGTCAGAACTTGCAGCCTCTCCTTGTTGCTGCCCTGGTAAAGCTTGAGAGCCGTTTCATTCTTTATCAGCTCCTCGTACAAAGCCTGCGACGAAGGGTCCGACATCACCTTCCATCGAAGCTCTTCCACCTTCAGCTCCAAGTGCACCATGGTCGCCTTAACTCTCTTTCTCTCCTCTGCTACATGAGCTCTCATGCTTGCACGCAGATTCGTCACCAGTCTCTCCAGGCCGTTGTCCGGACACTTCGCCTGTGAGTCCAGTACCGCCGATATAATGTTCCTGACTCCTTCACCCCCAGCCTGAGGTGCCTGAAGCCTCCACAACCCTGGGCCATGGTCGTCCGCCGATGCAGCCTTGAGTGACACCGACACCGCGAACCAGTGATCTGTTAAACCGTATGGAACCATTTTATGCTTCGCCTCCGTTACGCAGTTGAGAAGAGAGTGTGAAACTAAAGCCCTGTCTATCCGTGTACTCGTTTTTGCAGATCTCGAGAAGAACGTGAACTCTTTCCTGGTCGGGTGGAGGCTCCGAAAAGCGTCTTGCAGATCCCACCTCGAGCAAATCTGCAGGAGTCTTTGGTTCTCCGCCGGCGTTCCCAGTTTTGAGGACTTGTCCAGCTCCGGGTCCGCAACGATGTTCAGATCACCAAGAAGTATGGTATATGGAGAGGCACCTAGGCTCTGCACGAAGGGTGTTAGTACATCACGAAAGAAGACCCCCCTGGCAGGTGCTTGCGCAGGTAGGTATACAGCCACCACTCTGCAGGTCAGATCTCTCCATGCAATCATCAAGCTTATGAGACGGCCGGATTCGTGCCTAACCACGTCTGTGAACCGCATGCCTGGCAGGAAGCCCAAGACGCCACCCCCCCAGCTCTCTGTGACGGGCCAACCACCGCTTGAGCTTCCGACCTGACTTGTGTCCAGAAGTTATGATCCTGTGAGACTCGTGTGTCAGTGAGTACAACAATATGTGCTGCCTTCCTGATCCATTTTCCGCATCTCTCCTGTTTCCCACTGCTACCGAGCCCGTTGATGTTGAGCTCGAGAAAAGTTAAGCGGTTGCGTTTATCCATTAACCACTTTCCTTGAGCCCCACAGCATCCACGGGCGATTGGTCTTTATTGCGACGATGCAACCAGCTACAAGCGGAAGGCAAACATGGCACCTACTACACAGCTTGCACCAAAAATCCACAGTGTCGTCTCATCCGCTGATCACTTCCTTTGCCGGTGTGGCCATGAACTCCTTTTTGAAAGCAGCCATCTTCTGAGAATGTTTGCTGACACGCGTTGCTGAGCACCTCCTTTTTCAGCCCTCCCTTGTGCCTGGCAGAAGCGACATGAGCCGCCGCCTGCTCGAACCGGTTCCCTTGAGCCTTCTCGCATTACAGTCTGTACGCATACCCACTCCTCCCGCACACCTCCTTGTAGAGGTGAGTATGACTGCGGGGGTCTTTCAAGAATGCGCGTCAGAGACGCTGTGGCTTTCAGGGAAGCCGCTGCGGGAGGAGGTGAAGAGAACAGTCGTCAGTACGATTCGAGAGGCATGATAGGAGCGGGTGTGGACAACGAAGGTAACGAATTAGACAGCTGAGGGTGGGGATCTTTCTGCTTATACCGTTCATGTCATGAACCTTTTTGACCGACAGGTTCCAGTTGGTGAAGTTCTCCTGCCTCGAGGGTAACATAATGATCGTCGGTAGGCGGACAGGTGCTGGCCGCTGCATAGCTCGCAGGTAAGCGATGGGTAGTGCAGCATGTAGCGCCTGCCAGTCGACGGGTCCTCCACAAAGTACCTCCAGCGGTACTTCATCGTCAGCGTGGGGGACAAACAGACCGCGGATACGGTCGGTGTCCAGCCCAGTCACCGGATCGACGGTACGATGAAAGCCGAAACCGCTGCTGGCGAAAGCACTCCGACCCGCGCTTAACCAGCCTTCGACACCACCAGCAGGTGACGAATCAGCTCAGCAGTAGTAATGTCCGCAGGAACTCCTTGACAACAACTCCTTCGCCGTCGGGTTCAGCAGGCAGCTCACGAAGGAAACGCGCATCTTCAGGGTGGCTGCCAGGTAAAGTCGACAATGTCGCCATTCACGCACTCGTGTCTGATGACTTGACTCCAAACGAAATTTGCATCGCGGACGTGGTTGAAGGTAACTTGAAGACGACCATAGCGTGTGCCAGAGAAATAGGTCGCTGTAAGTTCCTGCGTAAGTTGTTGTTCTGCAACGCATCTGGCGACAGCTGATCCTTCCATTCTTCCAGCAAGGCAGCCACAGTTACAGCAGTCCGTCTTGACTTCAAGCTTCCTGTTAAACGGCACCAGCAAGGTCAGTGAGAATCTTTTTCAAAAGCGATAATGCTGCCGAGCGAAGCTGGTTCCAGTGCTCGTCGGAGTCGTCACTCAGGTAACCATCCTCGTCATCGTCTGGAGCTGATCTGACGAGGCACCATCGTCCTCCTGCGCGTCCGCATCAGCATCAGCCTCTCCTTCAGCGGCCTCTTCTTCACCTTCCCTTGTCAGCAGGATCAGCGACACCATCAGCAGCTTGTTCGCCATTGAGGTCAGTCTTGTTCTGTAGGTCCAATAAGTCCTCGAAAGGGCCAAGCACCACTGGCGACGAGGAGGTGGAAGGCCGCACGCCCTTTGTCAGCAGCATCCTTCTCAGGTACCGTAGGGGTGGGTGACATATCGGCTACTTTGTCAGTGACTGTTGTCTTCTTGCTAGTCTTGTTGCTGCGAGCTCTCCCCATGGTGCGAGGATGAGAAAAGCTTGACAGCCCGTTTGAAGGCTGAGAGACAAGCCGGACTGAGCACAACTGACGATGAGTCCGTTTGTTTATACTTTTTATGTTTGAAACTGAAACGCTGCAGGTCCAGGCCAGGGATGGGAGCCATAACCTTAGGGAACGCCAAACGGCCAAGTTGGTTAAGAGCCTCGAGTTGTGCTGAAACATAGGAAATGTCATCCTTGAAAAATGCGCGAGATGTTGACATTGCCGAGCGCCAAGCTCGATGATAAACTCTGGGAAGCTTGAGATCTTGATAATAGCCATGTGCAATAGGTAGCATTGAAGTTGCATGGAACGCTGACGACAGCCTGGAACTCGCATAAGTGGTGTTTAGGTTCCCGTAATGAACACTAAAAAGACACCATTGTGTAGAGCTTAAAGCCGCGCGTCGTACGAGTGTCTCAATGTCAAGATCAGGCTGGAAATTGATGCACACTGACTGAGTTAAAAGCTCTCCGCCATGGCCATGGCTGCCTTGACATTGTTTTAGTGCAGAATGGGTGTCGACAAAGACTTTCCACAATAGAAGAGAGTTTTTGAAGGCTAGAGGGATAATGGATTAAGAGAACTGAGATATACGAGGTTCCTCAAACCATCTGTGAACGTAGAATCATTAATGAAAAGTAGCACTAAAAGTGTACAATACAACGGCAGTTGTAACTGTAATTATTGATGTTCCAGAACCTCATAAATCTTCAAAACTGATGTTCAAATCATTGTACCAAAATCACTGGGCTGTGAAACGCGTACAGTTTCTCGGACAACTTTACCCCATCGCACGGGCACATCAGTCTGCGCGATAAAGTAGTTCGTGGAACATCGCAGCTAGACATTTTCGTGCCCAACACCTCACCTTGGCGAAATCGAATGGTACCAAATTCATCGCCACATTCCAACATTTTCCCTATGGACGTAAATCGAGCTTGTTACCTGATGCACTGCATATATGCATCACGACCTGTGTCCCCGACAAAAGCTTTCCAATTCCTTTGACAGCGTCGCACGGGAATCGTGTCAGCCAGAGGGCATCGGCTCGGCATCCATCGGATCTGACCCTGACACTCCGCCTTGGCGCGAAATTATCCGTGAATTGGGCACACTTCGAGTGTGACGATGATATTTTTTTTGCGTGCACATCTGTCCTTCTGCTTCAAGCAGCCAGTTGCACGCGACGGAGGTTCTTTCCAGCACTGGAAGCCGAAACTGGGAAAGTTGATCCTTTTTTTTCTCTCGATAGTAACTACTGGGAATATACCTCGCTGGTGTGACGCGGCTGGTGGCAAGGATACCGCTTGCTGGAGAAAAGCACAGAGCAGGATGAAGTTGAGGAGGAGGACTAGGTTATGTGAGCTGGAGGAGGAGGTAGGAGGGGTGGGAGTGGAGGCTGAAGTGGAGGCTGAGCAAGGGGAGGAGGGGAACGAGTACAGAATGAGCCGTCCTTCGTCACCCCTCCGCGAGCAAACGAATCGAAAAGCGGGATGTGCGCGCGGTAGAGGCGCGCCGAGTTCTCGACAGGCAGCCCGTGGCGGGGGCTCGTTACGCGGACCTGAACGCCGTGCCCGCCGACGTGTGGGTGCGCATCGTAAATTTGGTGTTGAAGAGAGGAGAGTGCTGCTGCTCGTGGCCGCTCGTGTCGTGCGCCATCGCCATGCCGTGCGTGCGACGCGCGCTATCAGGCTACGACACGTCTCTCGTGTTCTATGAAGAATGCCGGTGCCCGCCCTCCGCCGTCTCCCTACCTCAACGAATCCGCAGCTTCGCATGGCTGTGCAACCAGCACCCAAGCCCCTCCCGATTTATTTACACTCTCACTGAAGCGCCTCCTCGCCTTTTTTCCTCCCTCCTGCGCACCTGCCTGTTCCCCTCCCTCTCCTCCATCACCTCCCTCGATCTCTACCTCTCCCGAAGCCTCCACTCTAATCCACGCCTTCTCTTATCCCTCTCGCAAGCGCCGCGTCTCGAGTCGCTTCTCATTACGCATGGCATTGCTTCGGACAGCGACCGCGACATTCCACGGCTCCATTGCAACGACGCAGTGCTGGTGGCCGAAATGTGGGAGATTATTTCAGTCATAGAGGAGAAGAAACCGGGTGACACGGACAGGCCATTTCCCGTGCTGCGCCGCCTCGATCTCGACCTCCCCGCCTGCTCGCCTCTCGTCCTGCGCTTCGTCTCCTGCCTCTCTGCCCAGCTTCAAAATCTCTCACTCGGCGCTGCAGATCATTTCGCGGCCCAGGAGGGCAGAGAGGGTGCTGAAAGCGGTGACAACGCGGAAGGGCGGAGGGGGCATGAGGGGGACATGGATGTACGAGATTCGTACTCTCTTCACCTCCCGCTAGCCACTAATGTCAGATTCCATGGGATCAAGTGCTCCATTTCCCTCTCCGCCCCTCGTCTCTCCACTCTCAGATTCCTCTGGAAGTCCCGCCGCTCCCGCCTGCACCTGCTCCCCACCTGCCCCGCGCACCTGACATCCCTCTTCCTTCGCAGCGACCGGCCCCTCCCAGTGGCCGCTGCACGCGCCTCACCTCACCTCGCTTGAATCCCTCTGCACCAACATGCAGCCAGAGCAGGCTGCTTCTTTCCCTCCCGGTGTACTGGCGACAGTAAAGGCCCTTGAGTGGAGGGAACTTGTGGTTTTCCCGTTGGACCTGCGTGCTTGGCACGGCCTGCGTTGCTTCCATGCCGTGTTGCCGGACCCTGCGCCTCTGTTACTGCTCCGCTCGGGTGTGCTCTGGCCGTGTGGCGTGGAGGGATTTTTTTTCGATAGCATTGAGAGTGATGTCGTGGAAATTTTTACGAATGAGCTGAGAAAGAATAGTGGGGGTGAAAGTTTGGCAAGGAGGTATGCAGGGGAGGGCACGTCGAGAAGCCGGGATGGGATAGGCATGGGAACAAGAGGTTGTTCGAGGTCGGCAGGGGAAGGCAGGCCTGAGGACGACAGAAGAAGGGATATGGTTCAGGGTGAAGGTAGGAATCTATTGGCTCGACTGCTACCTAAATGCAAGGCCTTGCAGCGGTTTGAGGGGTGGGACGATGGTGAGCTGTGCTGTACAGGCTGGATGCTGTTGAAGGGTTGAGTAGGGAAGTGGGTGGAAGTGCAGGCCTGTGTTGGAGCAAAAGTAGGTTTTTAAAAGAAAGAGGAATCGTGGATTAGGTGCGCTAGACCACTGAATGCAACTTTGTTTTGTCCTGTTTGAGCGTGCTGTAAATGAAATATATACTGTAAATGAGAATGCTACTGTTTCAGCATTTGTGCTTGTGATGTTTTATGGAGCACAAACGGTAGGTTGAGAGAGCAGAGCACCTACACATACCGTAACTTTAATGGAAACAATGCTTTTGTACCGGTAACATGTTGATGAACACTTCGAACCACTGTTGCCTGCTGTGAGCAGTGTAGGGCAATTGCCAATCGCACATTCAGAGTCGCAGGGAGTCGCACTCAATCTGCCTCAGCGGATTGGCACACTTATCCGTCGCTCCTTTCGCTTCAAGCATTCGTCGCACGTATCTGACGGGGATCCTTTCCAGCTCAGAAAGGAACAACTATTTGACCCCATATTAGCCGTTGTAGCTATTGGCGAGACGCATTGTTGCTGTGACGCGGCTGGTGGCGAGGATACCGATCGCTAGAGAAGAGCATTAGCAGGATGGCGTCGAGGAAAAATAGGTTATGTGAGCAGGAGGAGGAGGAAGTAGGAGGGGTGGGAGTGGAGGCTGAGCAAGGGGAGGAGGAGGAACGAGTGGAGGAGGAGCCGTCCTTCATCACCCCTCCGCCCGTGGCGGAGATTAGTTCCGCGGACCTGAGCGCCGTACCCGCCGACGTGTGGGTGCGCATCGCAAATGCAGCGGCGGAGAGAGAAGAGTGCTACTGCTCGTGGCCGCTCGTGCCGTGCGCCATCGCCTTGCCGTGCGTGCGAACGCGCACTATCGGCGAGCAACGAACCTCTTTACTTCGAAGAAGATTGTCAGTGTCCCCCCTCCGCCGTCTCCCTCGCTCAGCGAATCCGCAGCTTCGCATGGCTGACCAAGCAGCACCAAAGCCCTTCGCAGTTCAACTTCTCTCTCGTTGAAGCGCCTCCCCGCCTCGTTTCCTCCTTCATGCGCTCCTGCCTGTTCCCTTCCATCTCCTCCATCACCTCTCTCGATCTCTACTTTCCCCGAAGCCTCCCCTCCCATCCGCGCCTCCTCTTCTCCCTCTCGCAAGCGCCGCGCCTCGAGTCGCTTTTTATTCAGCATTGCGATGTGGCGGACAGCGAGAGCGCGGCTCCAATTCACCAGTGCAATGATCCCGTGATGGTGGCGGAAATGTGGGAAATGGTTTCAATCATGGAGGAGAAGAACCCGGATGACACAGCCAGGCTGTTTCCCGTGTTGCGCCGCCTCAGTCTCTCCCTCTCCGCGTGCTCTCCTCTCGTCCTCCGCTTCGTCGCCTGCCTCTCCTCACAGCTTCACTCTCTTCATCTCGCGGCTGACGATCAGTTCGCGGCACAGGAGGTCGAAGAGGGCGCTGTAAGCGGCGAGAACGCGCGAGAGAGGGACGTGGACGGACGAACGTCCTTCTCACTTGACCTCCCGGCAGCCACTGACGTCAGACTCAACGGGCTCAACTGCTCTATCTCGCTTTCCGCACCTCGTCTCTCCGACCTCGGTTTTGAATGGCAGTCCCGCGATTCCCGCCTGCTCCTGCTCCCCACCTGCCCCGGGCACCTGACATCTCTCTTCCTTAGCACCGACCCGACCTGTCCCTGGGCGTTTCACGCGCCTCACCTCACCTCGCTTCACTCCCTCCGCACCGACATGGATGCAGAGCAGGCGTCATTCCTCCCGGCGGGTGCGCTTGAGACTGTCAAGGCCCTTGACTGGAGGAACGTTGGGGATTCGGTGGACCTGAGTGCTTGGCACAGCCTGCGTTGTTTCCACGCTGTGGACTGCCCCCCTGTATCTCTGTCGGTGCTTCGCTCCAGTGTGCTCTGGCCTTGTAGCTTGGAGGGGTTGTTTATCACCAGCATTGGGAGTGACGTTGTGGAATTTCTAGAGAGTGAACTGAGGGGGGTCGATGCGGGAGGAAGCTTGGGAAGGAGGCATGGAGGGCATCGCTCGTCAAGAAGCCGAGGTGAGATAGGCTTGGAATCAGGAGGTGGTTTGATGTTGGGGGTGGAACGCGGGCATGTGGAGGCTGGAATTGGGAACGAGGACGAATCGAATGGGAGGAATTTGTTGGCTCGACTGCTACCCGGGTGTGAAAGCATGCAGCGGTTTGAAGGGTGGGACGATGCTGAATGTGTGCTGTATAGGTTGGATGCTGCTGAAGGGCTGAGCAGGGAAGTGGGAGAACAAGGAGATGGTTTGACCAAGACTTTTCATAACAGAAGGTTGTTTATGAAAGAAATAGGGATAAAGGTGGATTAGGTGCACTGAACTTCCTGCATGCAATCTATAACATCATGTTGGTGGTCAAAGTTTTTGAATGTAGCTGGGAATGCTTGACAATATTTGGAATTAAATATGATTTCCTTGAATGTAGCACGGTTTGGTTTGGACAAGGGGTCTCGCCAGCGTCTCGCCACTTCACACCACTCCGAAACACATGAATTTACTCCCAAACCGAGCTACTCCACCCCTTCCATGTCCGCAGCATTTATCTATTTCTCCGTTCCAGCACCAGAGGGACATAAGTTGCTGGTCGCGTTTTAGCAGCCGTCGAGCACGCCAGGCGAGATTGACTGTGGCCTCCACTGATGCATAGAGACTCTTTTCCGCCCGATGCATCTTAGCATCTGTCGCATCCGTCGCGTCGGTCTCGTCTGCGTAATCAGTCCAGTCAATTATTCCTGTGGCTTCCGCTTCACCGCACACCGTGTCGCTTCACACCTTGTTTCACCTCCTCTGTTGGAGGCTCAGCCCGTTCGCCGTCCTAGCATCAAGTTCACAAGGTCAATCAATAACAGCAGAGGCTCCTAGTGTATTGGTCTTAGTAAGGCGTAGGAGAGAGTCGAGGGGCGGGGAGCAGCAGCTGCGCAGCGACATGTGGCCGTTCGGCAATCCCGAGAGGCTGCAAGGTGGGCGGAGGGAGGGGTGTGGGAAGGAGAGGAGAGGTGCGAAAACGCGAGCCATATATACAGTCAGGGGTATCAACCTCGGGAATACCATCATCATGCCTCACGAGCGACTCCGTCGTCATTTGCTGCTGTCATTTCCCTCCCCTCCTTATTCTCCCCTTCCCTTACCAGCGTCCATACCACCTTTGGCGTTGTCTTGCAAGCGCTCCTAGTAACCACAGTTGGTTCCAGGATCCTCCCCTTGCCAGTCATCCCACCGCTCCTCACTGCACTTTTACCTTCCGCACGCACCTTCCATTGATCCGCCACAGCCCTGCCTCTACGCCATGAGGGGGGGAGGTCCTACTACGACGTGCAGCCTGGCGACAACCTGACAAAGATTGCCGGCCAGCTGGGAAGCACTGTGGAAATCCTCATGCAGGTGACGACGTGCTGGTCCATTGGTGTAGAGAAGACGGAGTGCTTGCAACGCGGAATCTCTGCTTTTTGCCACTTCACCATGTCCGATGCTTGTTTTTTTTTGTCAGATGTATTGCTCCCATGAGTGTGCTCCCATGAGTGTGCTCACCGTTATTGCTCCCATGGAGTGCTGGCAGGCCAATGCACTCCGCTCAGACCTCTTGCACCCCGGCCAGAGCCTCTGGGTTCCACGCACATACACCATCGCAAAGGTGTGTTCCGCGCACATACACCCTTGAAAAGGTTTGCTCTGCACGCGCATGAGCAATGCAAGTGGTATGTGCTTTTCACACACTGTATTCTGCATACCTTGGCTTTGATGTTCACAGCCGTAGTTCAGCTATGGTGTCAGAAACTGTCTCTCACATTACATGGTGACCCTACGGCTGTGAATATGGAACTGTGCACGTGCAGGGTGACACTCTGTATGCCATAGCGCGTATGCATGGAACAACAGTGGATGCGATTATGCAGATCAACAACATTCAAGATGCAAACTTGATTCATACAGGTGAAGTATCATCGGATCACTTGCCCCGCCTGTTCCCCTCTTCCTGTGCCTTTTTATACCTCTGGCTCCTTTGACGATGAATTTATTGGTGTGGCGTTCATTGCAGGTGACATCATTTTGCTACCATAGAAGAGTTTTGTGTTTTTTTCTTAGGCATTTGTGACGATTGTAAATAGTAGATTATTCCAATTTTGGGATCATTACTTCACAATCACTAAGTGATGAAATGACGTGGCTGTGAACAGTTTCTTGGTGCTTAACCTGGTGTTGGTGCCTGTGTTTCTTATACCGGTGTAAAGTAGACTCATTTCTCAATGGCTTAGAAATGCAGTGTACCGTACGTCCAGCTCCTGAACGCAAGCTGTTGAGAGGACCCCGAAAGGGGTACAAGATGGAGTTCGTGAGCTGCTTTTGGTTCAGAGACCTCACCCCAGTCACGCACTGGACCTTGCCGACCCTTGATTCGTCCCCACAATCATCTGTAACGTGGCTATGGGGCCAAAGCTGATGAGTGCGAGGTTCGGTGATATGCGATGGTTATTGTTTTTCAGTTGTGGAATGCCTGAACAAATCTGTGCATCCGAAACAAACCCCTACTTTTCTAATATAGGACCCACTATGGACAGGTTGTGAACTCGAATGGGTGTTGACCAGAACCTGGAGCTAATCGATAAGATTTTCCCCAAGTTTTGAGGTACCGCCGGAAAGGTTTTCCTGTGGTCATGATTTGAGCCAGAGTAGTTTTGTCGCCTGAAGCCGGAGCTGGCAGTGGATTTGCTGCAATGTACTCAGCTTCGGCAAAGTCGACGTGGAATCCCGCCGCTGTTTCGGATTTGGCATAAAGGCAATCACCAGTCTTATGCAGCCACGTAATGTGACAACTAGGAGGTTGGTGTTTCCGAAGCTAAACTCCCCCAAAAATTGCGCAAGCATTCGGGCAGCACGTATGAAACTGCACCTGTTTCTTCCTCGCTGTTTTTGGGTTCGAAGTTTGAACTGACCAAACCTGACCCAAGCAGCTGCCCCGCTGCATGCGATTCGCAACAAAGTCAGACAAGGATGCTGCTGGACTTGCGTCGGCCTCCGCTGGCCCAAGCCCAAGTGACGGGAGAGTGTCTCCCTGGGCTCCACTTTTCGAGTGTGGAGGGAGCGAGGCGATTTGGTGCCGCTGACGGGACTGCGGCAATCCCGAGGCATCAGGGCACTCTCCCTTCTCTCGAGTTCCCATTTCTGCTTCCCGCCACGCCGAGACAAATAGGTAGCGTGTGGTAAGCTCTCAGGCGCAAGCCGCGCTGAGCCAGTCATTGGCCACGCCAACAACGCACAACACAAGGTCGCTGAACCAGGGAAAGGAGTTCTCGAAATAATTTAGGCCTTGTAAATGCTCCTCGTGCGCTACGAGACAATGCTTCATTCGTATCATCGCCAATATTTCAGACTGGCAACTTTCGGGTCGCAACGTGGCACTGTTTATTGTCGTTGCTCTGAAATTCGACCTAGTCTTAGAAAGCGTCCTTGTTCCAGCTTAGGATTACCCAGGCGTGCACGCTCGAGCTCGCAACTTACGCTTCGACGTCGACTCGAGTAAGTGCACCTTGCTGACGGGACGAAGCAAGCACGACCATCTAGCCTTCCTGCTGTACCTACTAGGTTCCTGCTTGCCGTCATCCGCGCAGATTGCGTCTCCGTTATCCCTGGTACACGTCATATACTCCGATATCGTGAGGTATTTCGACACTTAGGTATTTTCTGCTGTGCATGACTCTCTGCGTTTGTTATCGGCTTCTCAAGATTCCACCTAACCCTAACTAGCCGTCGACTGTGCCTTGCCTTCCCTCCGACCGCGTAATCCTCGTCCCAATAGTCTGTTTCTCGTCAACCGCCATACGCGGGTCGTCAGCTCGGTCAGCTTTCCGCAATCGTTGGTCTTTCCCGTTCCTGCCACACGCGTGTTGCACTTGCCCCTTTCAATTTCCTCGCCAGCCGCCGCCACGCGTCGCTGCGACATCCAGACTAGCTGGTCAAACAGGCTCTCGACCCCGTGGTTGTCATCTCACGCTTTCGTACTTACCGCTTCCCAGTAGCCAGCCGCTCACCTTGGCGTAGCATAGCTCTGTGACTTCAGGGAGAAAGAAGCTGAGGCGAGGCAGTGATGTCAGGGTCAGGGCATGTGTGCTGATGTCAGCGGTGCAGCGACGGGGACAGGCCACGCGTCATGGAAATGGCCCTTCCGGTAGCGTCTGGAGCCAATCAGCAACCGCTCCTGCCGCCGCAGACGCTGCAGAATCAGCACCAGCGCCAGCCAATCAGGAAGAAGATGTCAAGAGACCGAGGCGCGAGGTTGTCTGAAGAGAGAGCGGTGGGGAGCGGCGGAGAGGGGTGCGCGGCGGTGCTTAGGCAGCCGCGGGAGCAGCGAGGCCAGGAGCCCGCGGGCGAAGGTTTGAGGCAGCGCGAGGATTGGTTTGGGGAGATGGCGCCGGCTGTAGCAGGGGACGTGATGTTAGAGGGGGTGAATTTAGCGGAGAGTGGTTGCGGTGACGGTGGGGAAGCGAGGAGCATGGAAATAAAGGAGGAGGAGCAGGAGTGGGTGGTGGGGGAAGGGGAAGAGGGGAAGGAAGGGGAGGAGCGGGAGGAGGCGGGAGATAACAGTAGGCAGAAGCAGGTGCAGGAAGAAATGGAAGAGGAGGGGAGAGTGAAGCAGGAGCAGGGGCTGTCGAGCACAGGTGGTCAGAATCAGCAGGGGGAAATTGCTGAGGCGAGCAGACACGTGCAGGATGGCACGCACGTGGTTGCGTTGGAGGGCGAATGGGGCGAGGGCGACGGCGAGCAGGTTGTGTACAGGCTGTGCAGGGTGGACCCGGTTGACCCCGTTGACTCCGTTGACTCCGTTGACTTTCTTGACGCCGTGCCCATATCGGAGCGCGAGCTGGAGGAGCTCCAGGCGTGGATGCTCCGCCATGCGCCCGACGCGCTCGCCCTGCCCCTGCCGCCCGGGGCGCTGGGGGCTGCGGGGGAGGCGGACATGGCGGAATGGCCATTGGGGGAAGGATTAGGGTTGGCGGAGGAAGGCGGCGCGGACGAGCCCCCCCTGCCGTCGCCGCCTCTTCTCTGGCGGAGCGGGGAGGTGGGAGTGATAGGAACTGGGCAGCCACGTGGCAGGTCGCTATTGGCCAGAGGGCAGGCACGAGGGGAAGGGCGGATAGGGAGAGGCGTGAAGGCGGAACTAGGGTTCGGGCTGGATGACGCGAAGAGTGGGCGGGACGGCCGCTCGAGTCAATCGAATCCCCGTGGGGCTGTTAACGGAGTGCTTGCTCCGGCAGCCAATGAGACGAGGACAGGTGTGCACGCGCGTCAAGAGTTTCTGGATTTTCTCCTGACGGAGATTTCGCACCACGAGCTCGCAGTGGGGCAGAGTAGTGCAACCCCCCAACACCATCCCCGCGCCGACCTCTCCGCCCCCGACTCTCTCCCCCCTCCGCTTCCCCCATCCCACCATCCAGCCCATGATCAGCACCATCCCCCCTTCCTCTCCGCCCCGCGCTCCTTTCCCGCTCATGGGCGGGTGGGGCGGCCAAGGGGATCTCTGGGCGGGGTGCGGGGGAGGAGGGGGAGAGGGAGGGGCGTGGGAATGGCTCGGCGCGCTGCTGACGGGGACGCGTTGGGGACGCACACTGCAGCCGGCGCAATAGTTATGGGGGCGGGGGAGGAGCAAGGGGCGGATGGCGGAGCACAGGGGGCGGGGGAGGAGAGGGAGGAGGGGGAGGGAGCCAGCGCTGGGGGAAG